CGATACTTTGTAAAGTAAATAATCACTAAACCATCGGATGAATAAAAGCGTATAAATATACGACGCATATATAAACGTAAATACTCTCTACTAACTATTCCTATTCAAGGAAAAAAGTTTAAAAATTTTTCCTTTTTATTGGAATATTTTGAATGTACATGTGTTCGCATTCACGAATGGAAAGAGAATTACACGCTTAAGCCAAAGGGAAACCACAAATACCAACCGATGTGTTTGAGGTTTTTGCAGTAAACGTGAAAAAAAAAAATTTCTTCTTCCTTTTTTTTTTTTCATTTGAATACATACGCATATGTTTGGACATGAATGAAAAACCACAACCGTTTCACCAAAACCTAAATGTGTATAGGTTTTGAATTAAAAAAAAAATCATATCACGTAAACTTTATGAGAGAGAAAAATATGCGAAATAATTTTATTTTAGTGCAATTTTTACATTTGAAAAGGTTTTTATAATTTATGTTTTAGTCTATAAGATAAAATTGAACTCTCTTCACATTATCATAAACCGAGATCGGTGAAGCTATATTCGTTTGCCTTTTAACTTCGTAATACCCAAAAAAGGATATGAAAAAGACATGATATTACTTATCAGACACATTGACTGAAAGACAGATATTGTGATTCAATTAAATGGCCACCAATTCTCTATACGTACATACAAAATCTTACATCTGTTCTTAGCGATTTGATGTTTCATGTCTTCAATTTCGATTTTTACACATGAAGTTTGAAAATAGTTTACTATATATTGGGAAAACGGATAGAAAACCCGGAAGCGTAGGAGCAATCAAGATGCACTCTTTTCAACTCTCTCGCTTGCCCTTACAAGATCCGATAACAGTTGACTTAATCGAATATATCCATTTTCCCTATTGATAAGACGATTGCATCAGAAATGGATCTCCATCATTGAGGATAATTTTATAATGAAAGTCACTTCCCATCTTCGTGGACATGCAAATAAAGCCAAGTCTTGTATAATAGAACTTAAAGTCTTACGACAGTAGCAGTAGCAGTAGAAAGTTCAGTCCTTGATAAAATGGCACGTAATTGCTAGATTTCGTGTAGAATGATAATTCGCAAATCAATTTGAAAAACTTGCAGGAGATCATTTTTATAATTATAGCAAATATTATTGAATGCGTGCGTAGTTTATGAACTTCGAACGAAACAACCTATGCTATTTAGAATTTCTCCCTGTCAAATAAAATTAATTTGAATGAGATCAGGTTGAGGATATGAAATTTGGAAAAAAGACCCTTCACTTCCTACGTTCATCTTTAAAAAATTATGTAATTAGGATATGAAGCATACTTTTCGATTTTTCAATTTCAATATATTTTTTTATTTTCATCTTTAATATCGAGCTTAGTTAACTTGTCTATGAAACTTTCGCATTTTTAATTTACGAGGGCTACTATAGAAAACTAAAAAAGAAAAAAAAAAAAAACAAGGGGATAGAAATTGAATACGAATGTAAAATCAGTCAACGGTCATCTAAGATTCTTTCTAAACTTTTTCGCTTTGCTTTCCACGCTCCATTTTTTTTTTCTTTTTGTTTTGTTTTTAATTCACTTAAACGAAAGTGTAATTCAAAGAATGCTTATGTGTGAGAATTTAATTAATTTCATTTAGTAACCGACTCTATACGAAATCCCGTAACAGCCAGCAATAATAATAATAATAATAATAGCACCGACCGACAAGCAAAACTCTACCACAGACTTAATGTCTAAAATGTCCGAATAATTTTGGTCTCATCTAACCAAACATGGCATGGAACTAAATTTTGTAAGATATATAAAGCCACAACTACTATATACATAGAGTTTGTTGTATCTGGATACAGAGCCGGCATACATTCATGCATGCACGATGCATGTGCATTTGCATATGCATATTCACTTACATATAATACAATTCTCCCTACATAAGTATGTAATGCGTTGGAAAATAAATGATTTGCGGTTACCATACAAACATTTGTTCTAATTAGATTTAGCACAAATTTTGCATAACCGCATTAAATCGTAGTATAAATTTGTCTCTCCTTCTTCCTGCTCTCCTACCATTCAGACTTTAAATGACTGACGTTACGATGACTGATGTTTTGATTTTTTTTTTTTTTTTTTTGGATCAACTCTTGTGACGGCGCCGTCTCACTTTTTTGCAGTCCTTTCCTTTCCGCTATGTCGGCATATGTGCTTCAATTTCAAATTTCTTTTCATGTTTTAAAGTTAATTAATTCGTATCATTCAATAGAACAAATTCTTTATAAACGCTCTCTTACGCTCATTATGAAAAGTTTGGAAAAAGCGACGGCTGATGAAAACCTCTGATACACTTGTTTAACTCATGAAAACTCATGATAAATAAAAACAGATAGACATTAACTAGTCTTGCAGTCAAGATAATCGGTTTCGATCAGCGACTACTTGCATGCTCGACTAAAGGAAAAAATTTTCAATTGCACAAAAGATGCGTAGAAAATTTGTTGCTGTATTCGCAAGCGTTGACGATAAGCGCCATTATTGGGTTAAGATGTGCTTTTGCGGATTAAACATTTCCGCGATCAGTTTGTAATGTATTTTCTTGAAGTTTCTACACAAACAACCGATCAATAATTGAAATCGAACTTGAGCATCCTAGGCATATATGCTTTCTACCCCTTAATGAGAGGAATGAAGCAATTTTGCTTTATATGACTTGCTTAATAAAGTTATTTACCGTTTATTCGATTAATTGAAAATTTTTTTTAGAAAATGCACACACACAAAACCATTTTAATAAAACATATAACATATAACATATATATATATACATATATATATATTTGATTTATTGACATAAAGTTTACATGTGATAATAGATTACAAAATACTTGCATACTTGATCGATATTCGATATTTACGTAATTCCAAAACAACGTTAATTGTTTACTGCATTGCATTATAGTGCTTTGCGGTTACAATTTTTGCATGAGATAGTTTCTTGCAGAGAACTGGGAGATATGTTCAACCATGTGTCTATTATTGGAGGACTCGATACAATTCGTAATTTTTTTTTTTTAATTTTCTCGCCGTCAATTAAGAATAAAGACGTAATTTACAAATCGTTTTTTTTTTTTTTTATAGACGATATCCGCGAGACATCGAACGGAAATCTTATCAGTTTGAGTTTGTATTAGTCTATCTATTTATTCCTCGAAGGTGACCATATGCATATTGCAAATTTTTATTTTCTCACTCTTTTACAAGCTCATTCATCAGGTTATTTCTCATACGCGACGAAGAGATACACACCATAGGCTATATCCAGATGTTTGTTCATCAGCTTACTTGCTGTACGAACAATCGCCGCCGCAAGCTTTTTATATAATAAAACACTGAACCACTGTTAATGTGCTTTTAGTTTTTGCCCTCAGGTCGTGGGCTGGCTTTAGTTGATTACACTAACTAAAAAACTGATGCAAAAAAAGATCAATAGCTTAAAATCTCTACAAAAAATATTTGTGAAATTTTGCCAAGAATATAAAAAAGCCGTTTAAATGTCTAAAAAGAAAACAATTTCAAACGACACGGCTAACTAGTGCTTGCGATTAGCCAGTAAATTAATTTATTAGGGATTCACGTCTCGTCCCAAATCGAATATACATACATATATACGTATATATGCATATATATATACATGTATGTATCATATATATATATGTAGGTATATATATATATATATATATATATACGCATGTAAAGCGAGTATCCCATAAGTCTTTCCCCGCTTCGCTATACGTAACTTCAGGCTATGTTGGCAAACATGCGCAGGCTCGTCTCATAACCTTTTCAAAGTATGTTTCGTTGGTGAGAAAGTCTCTTCTAACATCTTTTTCTATGCTGTTCAATATGGATAACCAAAAGAACCATTTCCGGCATGTTATGCTTCATTGCTTTAAAAGACGTAGTAGTGCGAAGGACACTACAGACGAGACTTGTATCGTTTATGGGAGTGGTACTACGACTATTAGAACTGACCGCAATTGCTTTAAGAAATTTATAACTCACAAATTTTGTTTTAAGAGATGAAGACGGCATTGCCCGCCCAACGTACGGATACAGATCTTATCAAAAATATGTTCACTGAAAATCCGCGATATAATGAATGCCACTAACATTGCCAGGATAATGATACATAATAATCATTTAACCAAAATGGAATATGTCGTCTGTAGATTTCGCATCCAAAAAAAAAAAAAAAAAGAAAAAACGAACCTTATGGGACACCCTAATAGATATATGTCTCTTACTCAATTTATTTCCGAGCGTTTATTGCATAAGTTTGAAAATCAGAGCTTAATCGCATGCAATAAAATTTTTCTACATTTAACACAAAAACAAATTCGGAATAATTTTACGTTCAAATTAAATTTGAGAAGCCACTGTTAACGCCACACCGTTGCAATTATCATCTCCATCATCAAGATTAAAAGAACACAATACAGATGAAATTTGCTAAATGGATTTTATCATCTCTACTAAGAGTGCTTAGAATGTTTACAATTGCTTGCTTTACAATTGAAATCTTTAAGATGTTTCAACTATTCAAACTGTTAAACATACATGCACACAAACAAAACAAAAATATATATATATACATATATATATACATATATATATATATACATATATATATACATACATATATATATATATATATATATGCATATACGCATATACGCATATACGCATATACGCATATACGCATATACGCATATACGCATATACGCATATACGCATATACGCATATACTCATATACGCATATACGCCATATTCATATATGTTACGTAACAAATATTGAATGTGTGTTTAATCAAACAAAGCTTTTAAGTTATTTGCATTTATTTCATTGCTATGTACGGCACTTACTTAATCCTTATCTCTTCGCCTTATATTGCATTTGTTTTCTCTTTTCTGCTCTTTTGCAGGGATTTACGTTTCAATAGGTTTGAGGAGTTGCCAGCAAATGCGTTCGAAGGCTTAACCCAGGTGACCACATTGTTTCTAAATGAAAATGAAATCTCATATGTAGAAGAGAGTGCTTTCGATGGCTTAAAATCCTTGAGGTTTCTCTATTTGAATAATAATCGCATTAGTCGCCTGCCAAGCAACATCTTTCAGCAATTGAAGCAATTGGAAGCCATGTAAGTATAGTGTCAACACCATTAAGTAAATTTACACCAATTGCATCAAATTTAGATCGAGATGAGAAAATATAACACGAAACTTCATACTAAACGCGCACAAGTTTAACAATTTAACGCAATTCTATTTTCATTCTGTTCTATTTACAGTTACTTAGATAATAACGATATATGGCAAATCGATGCCAACACTTTCAGTGATTTGCCCCGTTTAAATCGCCTGTAAGTATAATAATGATAAAAACAATCAAAATGATGATAATAATGATGACGATGATGGTAAAGAAATTTTCCCATACCATACCATACCATACCATACCATACCATACATAAATAGATTTTTCTTTCCAAACTTTATTTTCAGTTTTAAACTAATTTATTTGCTTTTTTGTTTTTACATTTTTTCGCTTTCTTTTTGCCTTCATCTCTATCTCTCTTTCTTTCTTTCTTTCTCTCTCTCTCTCTCTCTCTCTCTCTCTCTCTTACACTTGGACTCGTTCAGTTTTGTTTTCAATAATAAACTCACGAACGTACCAGTGAACGCTTTCAATCGTTTGCCCAGTTTGAAACGTCTACGACTCGATGATAATCCCATTGACTGTAATTGTGGTGTGTATTCGTTGTGGCGTCATCATCAACAGCATCCGCAACGCAAAGCCATCACCATTGCTCTGACTTGTGAGACGCCCGCCTCACTGTATCGTTATGGTTTTAGCAATTTGCAGGAATATCATTTCCATTGCAGTAAGTTGATTATAAAACATAGACGCTCAATGCCTCACATACACGCACACAAAAAAAAATACATACACGCACACAAAAAAATACATACACATACACATACACATACACACATACATATATATACACATACACACAAATTGCATATCAAAGTCCGGATCTGCGGGTAAGTAACTAGATGACTGAGGTATAAATAGTAAAAGAAAAATCGATATCACATTGGTCTGACAATGTAATGCAATCAACAACAATTATATTGAAAATATCAAGAAGTAAAACAACGAAAAATTTTCTTCATTAGTGTTTTTCTTCTTATTTTTTTTTTTGTTTTTGAGATGTGAGAGAATTTTATTTCTCTTCCTAAAGTTTGAAAATAAGTTTTTTAATTATACGGCAACATTTAAAATATCGTAAGCAATGCTTTCATTCTTTTTCACCTCCACCACAGGATGCATATTAAATTTTTCGAATCTGAATATATCGAAATTGTAAAACATTTAAGTCAAAATTTTAAATGGCATCTTAAGCGTTTGCTTCGTTGTTTGATTTAATAGACATCCGATATATCAAGTAAAATTATTTTTCGTTTTATTTTGCAATCAACTATCGTATATTTCTCGGTAGAGAATATCATAAGAAATTTCACTTAATCCGCTTGAGGTAAGAATCGCAACTATTAAGTCAGTGTTCGCGACTTAACATATTTGATGACATATGACGACTTATACCAATTTGGCTCACATTTTCGCCTCTAACTTGCCTATAGTTATATACATACGTATGTGGAAAACATAAATCTAATATTTTAAGGCATTTCTAATACTTTCCAATAAGTAATGTTCGTCAACTTGTTGACTTGATCTAAAAGAAATTTTCCGGCCTAATAGACTTTGCACGACTTTACATACTTGACATGACTTGGAATTTTCAAATAGCCAACATCACAGGAATTGCATCTACTAAACACATATATCATTTGTTGAAGTCAAAGAAGCAGTTAATCAGCAGTACACATTAAAACATGTCCTATAAAATTAAATATTTAGCACCTCAGGCTTCCACTGCATAAAAATTAGTTACTACGACGATCCTTTAAAACGAAAAATATTGCATGTTTTTATTCACTAATTAGCTTGCTGATAACATTTTCAAAAATAATTGTGAGAATGTATATGTACGAAAACCATCCATCCCATCATTTGTTGAATAAAAAATTCGTTGCTCCTGCTGAGCAATTCGATTTCGATAATAAACGGACTACCATTGACCAATGTCTTAGTATCTTGGTTTGATGCATACGAGAAGTCATTGGAAATAAAAAAGCTGAGGTAATGTTTGCTGTTCAAACTTCAAAAATTGCATACAAATCCAATAAAGTGTCTTCTTAAAGCCTGTTTATAAACAATGTATTTTTCTATGCTAAAATTAATAGAAAGATAGATCCACCACACATATAAAATTGGTAGCGGGATGCCCTTTAGAAGTGCTGTAAGTCCGCTATTGTATACAATTTTCATGTCAGATTTTCTAATCGTTGATAATATGTAACTGTCACATAAGCAAATAATGTAGCAATCATATTTTCATCTAGCGATCCGGATCTACAGATTAAATGCTAAACTGTCACACTAAACAAGCATTCTTGTGCTTCACTTTTTTTGAACGGGGATAACGACTCCAATAAAGCTAATGGGTAATAGTAGTACTAGTAGGTAGAAATAAAATTAAAGGTAGCCAGCAACTTGACTTGAGTAGCGAAAGGCTCTATTGCTAACTAATTCTTAACTTGATCTAAAGAATAAACACATTTTATTCAACCTATGGCATACAATTGTGAGCAATAGCCCGCTCTAGTCGCTCTAATATTGAGATCCTTCAAAATTACCAAACCAAATACTTTGTCCAATTGTTTGTTCTTTTACAACAAAACTATTTATGACGATCTATGAATATTCTAAATGTTAACAATAGAATGGAACACTTCTCATGCTACGGAGATGGGTATAAAAAGAAGAAGCAAGCAATATTCTTCTGACAACTGGTGTAGAGAAGACTAAGAAACAAACATGGAAATCAATTAACTATTAATGTTGATAAGTTGCTGGCTTTAAGAAAGATTGATATAAAATATTATTTTTTGCATTTATTAGCAAATTGAAATTGAAATTATCCACACTTAGCACATAAACTAAACTTAATGCATAAAAATTACGAATTTCATTAATTGTTATAATCCGCCTGAGTGGCCGAATAGGCAAGAGTCTCGACTAGCAAGTCAATGGAGAGATTTTAATAAAGCCGGAAAGTCTTAGATGCTAGTGCTTTAAAACTTTTAGTCTTCGATTTTATTCTCTGGCTAAATTTATAATAACAATAATAATAATTATTATAATATAGTATTAGACCAATATCTGCTTGCTATATATAAATATATATAGTTCAAATTAGAAGTTTATTTGCCAAGTCTGCTCACATTAGTTTGGTATATATGAGACTATCTTTGGCTGATCACGCATGTTTTCCAAATTAATATTTGCCACGAACCTAGAAGGGTGCGTGTACTCCTTTTGGCATTTTTAAGACGCAGAGATGTTAAGGAAAAGAAAATTAACAGATGAGCTTTTAAATTCACGTGGCTAAGCTAAGCTGATTTAGCATAAGGCGCTGAACTAGTGTATCTAGGCTATAAAGTTAGTTATTTTGCATTTCTGAGCTTCGCTAAGGTATCGGAAATTCACTCTAAGACAGAAATAAATTTTTTCTTTTTAATAAAATTTACATAAATCTTAATCTATTCTGCTTCAATTGCACAACGTCTCTATTGCAGATTATTTAAAAAAAAAAAAAAAAAATATATATATATATATATATAAGAGAAAACAAATAAAAATAGAAAACAAATGTACCTTTAAATAATAGTATTATTGTTATTGAAATTTTTCGACAAGCAGCAATAATTTCTGTGTAAATACAAACACCAATGCAAAATAAAAACAAAAAAAAAAAAAAAAAAAAAAAAGGAAAACATTTCTATAAATAAATAAAAGCATTTATCTACTATACTATACTTTGGTGCAGCCAGTCATTTTCTATTCAATCGCTATGCCAACCGCAACATGGCTCTCATGCATGAATGTAAACAAATTTTTTCTCATAACGCAGATATTATTCATAAACACGCATTGACGCAGTTTCTAGCAATTCGCTTTCCGACATGTTTGTCCTGTATGCCTGTGTAATGCAAGCAAGCGTGTTAAAGAAAAGCAAATATTTGCCTATTAAGGTTGAGTAGAAATTTTTACAAATTTTATTATTAAAAATTGGTGAGATGGATGACTTACATAGTCAAGACTGAGCCGTTAATATAGCCCATCTAGGATGATCTAGACCGTGGGTAAAATCACACATCATTTTTTAATAAGTCGCGACTTTAACGGTTTTGCTGTATTAACAAAACTTCTTCTCAACAATAGACACCGACTGAATTTTTTAATGCAAACCAAGCTTATTTGGCATGTTTTTATCCTAAATCAAAACTTCACGTTAACTTCTGCATAGCTTAATTTAATAGAATACATACTTTTATTGAGTATGGCCCTTCGGGGAATACTCGTGGCGGTTGTGGTTGGCTGTTTCAAGCCAAAGTGGAACAAATCGTGTGCAGCTACGCCTCACCCCTGACCAGAGTGGGTTTATTGATCCATACACAATAAACAATCTGGACTCTGATGCTGTTTGGGCCCCTAATTTATAGGGATTTTCTAACACGCCAGGGGGCGTATATTATGCTTAAAGTGGCTTGGGCCATCGTGGGGTTAAGCCGTCATGGCAGGAACCCACGTTAAACGCAGGTTACAAATCTGTACCAAATTTCATGCTATACTATATTAAACATAACGAGAAGTCTTTAACCATTCGGATCTCAATTTACATGATAGGTGTTTTCATTCGAAATTTTATATTCAAAAAAAGTCGACTTCCAACTTAATCAATAACCAAGTTCTTACTAAGTTAATACCAAAAAAAAAGGTAAAAAGAAGAAATTTTTAATGAAGAATGTGTGTATAATTACGCGAGTATAAGTGTTAACAGCGTCGATCCAAACCGTTTATTATCGCCTTTGAGTTTTTATTTTTATTTTCATTTATATTCTGTTTTTTTTTTTTTTTTTTTTTTTCTGATTTCTTCTATTTGCGAATAAATAGAGAAGCCGGAAATTATAACGGCACCGCATGACATGCATGCAACAACAGGTGAGACGGTGGAATTGCCGTGTCGCATGACCGGTGACCCGCAGCCGGAAATAGTTTGGATGCAAAACACAAATGAAATCAATGCAGACTTTGCACCAAAAATGCAAATATTACCTACGGGCACATTGAAAATCGATGCATTCAATTCAAACGATATCGGCATTTATGAATGTATCGGTCGCAACGAGGTAGGCGAAACACGTACCCAACCCATACGCATAATGATGATGATGATGACGCCGACGACGATGACGACGACAACAATGACGTTGCCGAAAAAGGGCACAAATGCAAATAATAATAATAATAATAATAACAATCAATATGGACCGTACTATAGCAGTGCTGGTGGCAGTCATAACGACAACAATAATAATAATAATAATAACAACAACAACGTCTACGTTAGCAATCAACTATGGCATGACCAACAGCACATAGAAACCGAAGAGGCGCAACAACATCAACTAGAGCTGAATCCCAGGCATACAAGTAAATTAGCAACTAACACTGACAACAATCGTGTCGAACAACACAGGAGCAGCAGCAATACTAATAGCAATAATAATAATAACATCTGGCATGCGTATGTTCTGTCATCTGATGCAACTACACAAGGTCCAGCTAGCAATGTAACGGGATTAATAGAGCAAGCGCATCCACGTTTCATTCATACTCCCAAAGACCGCGTAGTGGCTGTAAGTGCTATTGAATCTCTACGGCTTGATTGCGTAGCTGTGGGTTTCCCTACACCTGAGATTCAATGGTATTTCAATGGTCGTTTAGTTGCACAATCAACCGATGCACTACGCATTCAAGCGAATGGTAGTTTAGTTATAACACAACCATCATTACAAATGACTGGCGACTATCGCTGTCTGGCCACAAATCCGTTGGGTAGCATAGAGGCGAACGCCAAAATTGAAGTGAAAGGTAAGTGTGCGTTACAAAAAATAAATAACAAATACAAAAAACAGAAAAAAGGAAACAACAACTAAGAAAGTTGTATTCGGCACGAGCCGAATCTCGCATACTCACCACCATGTTTTCCGCATTCTACTCTCCGAAAATTCATTTATTTGCTACTCATATTCCTATCGGTATTATTAAGAAAAAAATTAATCCACAAGATCGCGGTGTCTGCGATATTCATTTTAAAATTAACCCAATTTTAGGCACATAATATGTAATATTCATATGATATTCATGTGTACAAACATTCTGTCTTGTTTGTCTTACGGCAAATAAGCATAAAATTTCAAGAAAGGAAAAAAAATAAAATTTAATTACTAGCAACTTTGTCCGGGCATAGGCAATTGTTTTTGTTTTTTGCACGCGAAAGGTAGAATACTTCGTAGAGTAAATGTGAAAAATTTCAGTCTTGTAACTTTAATAATTTCCAAGCAACGAGCAAAAAATCCAAAATAATTTTTGCTAAAAAAAAAAACTTAGGTGCGTTCAGTTTACACTCCACTGCTCGCTTCTGCTCTAACCAATTGGGCCCATTTTCAATACCAACGTGCGCTCGATAAACTTTCAATGTTTCTACCAAATTTGACGTCAGTATCTTCATTTTTGCGAGCAGGGGAGTGCCAACAACAAAACACCACGTAGACATACATACATACATACAGACAAACAGACAGGGCAAAATCAATTTAGAATTTCACGCTGACCAAGAATATATAGGTACTTTATAGGGTCTCTGAGCCTTCCTATTAGGTGTTACTTACATATATTATGGGAAAAAAAAAGAAAACGATTGAAATAAAAAACAAGAACTGATATTAAAGAGATATACAAAAAAAAAAAAAAAAAAACACAAGAGACCAAACAATAAATATTAGGTAGAATATAGGATAGGATTGGGTAATTGGGTATGATGAGTGTGAGCGTGCATATGGTGGTTCATTAGTTTATAATTTTAAATTCTAATGAATTCATAACATGTTATTCAATAACATGCATACAATAAAACGTATATATCGTAATATTATAAAATGTGCACGCACACATATGCGATTGTCAAAAGCCATTTATCGCCTAGGATTTCCCATCACCCCCTCTGTGACTACTATTTTCAATTATTATTATTTATACATACATATATATATATATATATATATATATATATATATATATATGTATATATATATTCATATCGTGCATCCAAATGCGATATGCCTTAATGAAGCCTTTATATGCATGATCATGGTGTTGTATACCACAATTTACCACATATGCTGTCCATGTCGTCCATGTGCTATTGCATTTTAATATATTCATCCGTCCGTTTGTGCCTGTGTGTATATATTTGTGTATTTTTAAATGTACTTTAGTGTGAATGAATTCCAATATATATATATATAAATATTTTACACATGCATACCAGTGCGACGGTTACTACTTTAAAAGAGACATCGGTCCGCATATTGTTGATTATTTCAAGTTTATATAAAATTCAGTTTAGCAATTTATGTTTTACATACGCACTGCGCTGTCTTCAATTCCACAATTCAATGCCACAATACACAATCCATATATAATACATGTATGTATACGTATATGTTTTTTGTGAAAATTTTTTCCCCCACGTCCTTTATGAATCTGTAAAAAACCAAAAAGAAAAAAATGTATCTTTGACACGCAGAGGACAAGGGTTAACGAAATTTTTGATTGCCTTTGTAATATCGAACTACTCGCACACTACTCATATTTGTGGCAAAGACCATACACTAGCACACTTAAAATCTCAATCATTTTAATTAGGTTTTCACTTACGTAAGATATTCTTTCTAAGTCTATTTTCTTTCGGCCATTTGCCGCTATTTCATAATTCTTGTTAGTCGACATCCTTTTAATCATAGCTTTATCAGTTTCTTAAAAGACCAGTTTCTTGCACGGTTGCATAGCAAACGTACGTTGAAATTTAAGTCGAACAAGATGAAACGTTGTTAGTAAACGCACTTGATGAAAACATAGCGACATCCGACAAATCGTATCTTTTTGTTGTTTAATTTTCTCCCAATATATTCGATCTTGACTAAGCTTTTTACCGTTAAGAGAACAGTACTAAAATTGGTCAAGAACACTTTTATTGAAAGAAAATTTTCCGTAATCTTGGTTTGTCCCATATTTTCTTAACTATGAAAATGTCAAAACACCATATAATATTTATTGGAGCCGAAGCTGCCTATAAAGGGCCTGGTCCGGATATTGCTTGCTAAAAATAACTACTGGAATGAAAATTTTGTTGCAATAGTCTAGGTTTGATAGGAAAACTAGTGAGGATAGTTACGGGGCCAACTGATAAAGGAAAGCCTGAACTAACTGCGAAGAGCGTAAGCTAATTAAGAAAATTACATAGATTAGTTAGAAGAGCATTAGACTGATTGGAAAGAACCAAGAAGTACTGGTATCTGTTGAGCTGGAAATGCGCCAGAATGACTTATAGTCATAGCCAACAGCCGCAACAAATTCTTACCGTATATCCTAAAAAACCAATAAGAATTTATTTCTACTCCTAATACTTCATTTCTCTGGTTAAGAAGCATTTGGCATTTGGCATTTGGCTATTTAGAAGATGTCCAAATTGATTGTTCAATTGCCAGACTAAGAAGCGTAATAGCTGGCAATCTATGGTTTTTTTTTAATTTTTATTTTATTTATTTTTTTTTTTATTTTTTCTGCTATTTAACTTTATTGTCATGTTTATACTTGATCATCAAAAAAATTTTTAATTGAAGGGTTCAATTCCCCGTAAATACGTTGATAGCTTATGGAATTATGTTTCCTAGAAACAAAAAATTGTGATAAATTATTATTTTTCTCTTTTCCGTAATAAGATCTTCGCTATCCAACAGAAGTAACGGTTTCAATTTAAAAAAAAAAAAATAAATAAAATTTATCGATGTATTCAAAACAATAAGTTAATATAAATAAAAATAATCCGCCTGAGTTGCCGAAGCCGAGGGATATCGACTAGCAATTAAATGGTCATGGGTTCGAATCTCAAATGCGGTAGAGTTTTTAATAAAAGCCGATAGCCTTAGATGCTAGTTTTTTTTTTTTAAGACTTTTAGTCTTAGAATTTATTTCTCTCGCGAAATTAATAATAATAATCATAATAATAATAATGATAAATAAAAATAACAAAATTCGAACAGGTTACAGTCTGTAGTTGTTTTTCCGGCGATATGTATTCTCAAACATATGAACTGTCAGACATTGCGCGAAATCTCAACTTTGCATAGACTGCTCGATGAAATAGCGGCATGTCCAACGTTTTATAATGTTACGAATATCGAATAGAAATATATGTATTTTCGCTCGCCACGCGCTCCAGGCCTTTTTTTTTACGTTAGAATGCCGTAAACGAAACAAAGCATCATTGAGGACAGACACTGACTTGAATCTCCAACTGTAGATATACCTCAGCACTCGACTGCAATCGACTTTAATTCAACTTAAATAAAAAGAAAAAAAAAATTAATACAAGATTTTTACAAATGTTACGCGGAATTTCACTTTAGAAATTCATTCATTTTTTATTACGGCTAAAGCAAATACATTGCACGACTGCACGATTGCACGATTATTAGGCGCACATCCTTCACAAACGATAATAGGTAACGATTTCGACGCTACCAGTTACGTGTTCGAAAACTTGAGTCCATTTATTAATAAAGTGTTCAAATATGAAGCAAAGTGAAGTGAATTCATATCTGCTGGCCTTAATTCAAATCCGCAAAAAAAAAATCATGATAACATTTTTGCAACACTATTTAACTTGTATATCTCACTAGTGATTTCTACATATATGGTGTTTATTAAAAAAAAAAAAAAAAAAGAAAAGAAAAGCATATGTTATAAGTGATTAAAATCACAAACTTTGTGAATACAAACGTATTCATGCGCAAATGATGAATATTTACAACTCGTGTCATAGTGATACTAGTTCTTCAACTTGTTATATATATTTTTTTTTTTTTTTTTTCAATACAATAACACACACATGTATACATGATTGCGTGAATTTTTATTCAATTAGGATTTTCCTGATATAAAGCACGTACCCAAGCAAATATATATGAACACATTCGCGAGAGTATACGAGTATGCATTAATTGAGGTTATAAATAAAATGCTTTCATGTGAGCCATTAGTGATTAATTATAATAATAATATTATAATAAACTTTTCGCAGTTTAAAATAATTGCTTTTAAACAGATTGTTAAAAACACAAACACACTTTATGGACTGCAAAAATATTATATATCAGCTTAAAACAGATTTCTCTTGATATATGATATATGTATATGTAAAAAAAAAAAAAATCAAAATCAAAATCAAAATTATTGAAAATTAAACCAAAAATTTATTATCGCTACTTATGTAAATAATTAATAATGATTACTTAATTAAAAATGCATAATGTAATTCCCATTGTTTTGAAATCGAAACATGTTTCATCATTAACTCATATACGCATATACCATTATATATAATATATATCCTATTTCAGATTTATTCTACAAAGGGGAAAAAACATTTTAAAAAGCAATTACGATAACTTCTAACTTTCAAATCGTAAAATATAATGTAAATAAAAATAGCAGCACAATCCCCATTTCATCCATCATTAATTATCAGAATTAAGACAATGGAGATTCACCGTCACTTGTCACAGAACTCCATTAGAATCCTTACTTACCTATTAGAATTTAAAACACACTATTATTTATTATGTTAGTCCAATAAACAGAATATTAATACAATACAACCCCGCAATTATAAAATCTCACTTTAAGTATCTTGTTCGGGCGTACACTGCATTCAGCATAATGGATGCCGATACGATCAGCAATTGTTAAAAATCAGCAAACCACCGATAAATTGTTGCTGTTTTGTTAGAGGGAATCGAACAAAGAAG